TCGACACCAGTCCGTTCACGAGAAGAGAGACCGCTCATCCGGGAAGCGGATTGGATAGTCAACGGGCCTAAGACCCACCCAAGAAAGAGAGTACATCAAGCCGGTTTAAAAAAACAAAAAGTACCAGCGCCTTCATACAGGAACGCCTTCTGTAGCCACTGTGGGTTTTAGATCATCGAGCCGCTTAAAAAGTCGCCAAAACGCCCACGCTAAAGAGCTGCGGTCGGCGTTGAAAGAATTTGATTCGGGCGGGCGATTTCAAAAGAGACCGGCACGCGCCAGCAAGAGAGAGAGACCCTTTGGTGACACTCAGTGCCTGAAGGGAGATGGTACAACGAAGGAGTTCACGCAGGAGGAAGACCATATCGGTAGTCCTTGTGGGGAGAGTTTTAGTGACTTGGCCATCTTAAAATGACACCAGAGCTTTCATATAGTAGAGTCGCCAGTAATCAGTGGGGGGAAAAGATCAAATTCATTGTTGCAACATTGTTACAAGAGTTTTTATAGTTTTCCTCGATCGTGTACGGTGTCATGCACAATGTATTAAACGCGGCGTTTTGAAAGCAAGAAATGTTGCCGATAAGGTGTGCATAGCCTGCCTCCTAATCCTAATAAAAATGGGTCAAAGAAATGTTTGTGTTGTATGTTCATTTATTTTTTTCTCTTCTTTTACATTCACAAAGAACCTGTTTTATAACAGTGTTACTGAGCAGTTAAATCACTATGAGGCTGTGAAACAACGCAGTCTTATAATATCGCATCAATACCCAAAACAGGTGGGATCTCTCTTCTTTCCGTTACTGGCTTTTCTTTGACGGTCTTACATGGAGCGTTCCGCACGCGAACTCGGACAGCGTTTGGAACGTTTTCCGGCTCGTCCAGCCTCCGGTGAGCGCTCGTGACTGGTGGACGGGGTGGGGAGTATCGTCATTCTGGAAGATTCCCTGCCCGTCACGCCCGAAACGCTTCACCTTATAATTAGAGCTGGGTGATAAATCGATAACGATTGTTGTCGCGATATAATTTTAAGAAATGTTCGATATATATGTTTATGCTTTGCGCATGATATGCGCATGCGCACAAAATACTGCGCGTGCGTGTTGCAGACCGGGCAGC